GAACATGAATTGACCCTAAGCTTTCCTCGCCTGATCATTATCACTAGAAGTAGGAAAGTTCCTCTTTTGCTTAGGATCTTGTTAGTCAGAAGCTACACAACCTTGTGTGGGGCTGGGACATCCTAAAGTACTCCAGGAGTATTCCAGCAAGTATTTCACAAACCATCTCTGTGTTAAAGGTCTTGGTGTAGATCTCTGTCTCAATCTCCTTTGTGAACCCCATAAGATACAGTCTTGCCTGTCGCCACATGGCTGTCTCCAGTGTGGGCAAATAGGTACWATATGTGTGGTGGTTCTATATACTGTGTGTGCTGTAGATCACTGTACAAGACATATTAGCAGTCTGTTAATAGCCACTCCTGCTTTTGTTCCAATATGGAAGAGCTCACCTGTTACAGCAAGAACATGACAATACCACATGCATGCGCTTCTAGACTCTTTTGCAGCTAGGAGTAGCTTTAAGACCCAGATGTGCCAGAAAGGCCTAAGTTAAAGTATTTTGAAGGAGCTTCTGGGAAAGACTTCTCTTGCTGTTTAAGAGAGAGGGGAGGAGAGGGAAGAGACAGAGACATGGGAGAATAAATCTCTTTAACTCTCTTGYAACTCTGGTTGCTCTCTTCTTCTTGATGTGGTTGTGATGTTTGCAACCAGAGCAACTATTTTGATATTTCAAAGCAATAGGCCCAAGTATGAAAGTGGAGACTTATATGGATGCTTAGAATGATGAAGAGGAGGGAAAGAGATTTTACCCTTGATGACGTAGTTGAGAAACTACATTAAACCTGGAACTTTCCTACTTCTAGGAACAAAATTCATATTGTCTAAACTRTCTTTAATCAGGGATTCTGTTGCTTGAAGCCCAAAGCATTCTAACTGCATGGGTGCCTGGTATTTAATTTTGTATCTTGTCTTCTGCTTCTTGAAGGTCACTGGAATACTCTTCCTTCACCTTTGTTGCCTGRCTCTCTTGCCCATCCTCATCATCACATTAGTACTTTTATTTTTCAGTTCACCTTATAAAGTTCTTTTGAGGACAGAGACTATGACTTAATGATTCACTAGTGTAGCTCCCATTAATATTATTTAATAATTAGTCATTTCACACATATCAATGAATGATTGAATGAAGTGGGGACTATCAAGGAGGAGAATTATTAAAATGAAAAATGTATCTATCAAGGATAAGAAACTATGTATACACAGGAAGACAAATAGCTTGTGGGTACATAATCAGATAAAGGCCATTAGCTGCTTGATCTAAGCATGGCTTCATTTACTAAGTCCTAATACACAGTGCACCCATGTCCACCAAAGAGTCTCCTTTAATACCTGTTCCTGCCTCCCACCCCAGTGWGAAGACCCCTTCCTGTCTGCCTCTTCCCCCTAAGCTTTAGTGTTTGACTTGCTACACCATCAGAAAGACATAAACTTGCTTTAAATATTAGCACCAACCACATTAATGCTACATAAGCTTAGGTCAGTTCTGAGATGTGGAGTCTTTTCTTTTAGGTGGCTTCATGTGTGCTTTCCATGACCCTACTGCACTTGTTTTAAAGTTTAAAGCTGCAAAAGCATGTTATACATATACTCCTTTTTTTAAAAAGCCTATTATTTGCTGTATTTGTTATTTTTATTTTTAAAAATAGTTTTAGTTGTATATAGACACAATACCTTTATTTCATTTATTTATTTTATGTGGTGTTGATGATTGAACCCAGTGGCTCACATGTGCTAGGCAAGTGCTCTACTGCTGAGCCACAACCCCAACACTATTTGCTATATTTATTAACCCTTAAGTTCCTTCAGGATCAGCCTTGCTGATTTTTTTTTTTTTAACAAATGAAAGTTTGCAGCCCTGACACTACCAGTCCTTATAATGGTCTCTGGTGGAGTGGTTTTGTCTATACAAGCTCAAGAAGGAGATGAAACTCTCAAGATCAAAGCCTTTGGAAGGAACTTGTTAGATAAGGGTGGAGGTTGAAAACATTCCTGTGCATAATACTTTGTTCTATATTTACTTACCACAGAAACATTCTTGCAGATTGTCTGTAAGAAGCCCCCATGCAATCTTGACCTATTCCATGCTAGTCAGGTATCATGGGTGTCTTAGTMTATTTTGTGATGCCAGAATACCAGAGTTATGAATGTTGGGAAATCCAATATCAAAGTGCCAGAATCTGGTGAGGGCCTTCTTGCTGTATAATCCATGGGACAAAGTGAGAGGAGATGTGTGTGTGGGCGGAGAAAGAACACASTCCTGTATTCCTGTGATAACTAGCCCACTCCCATGGTAAGGGCATTAAGCCATTCATGTGGCCAGAACTCTCATGATCTAATCACCCTAACGATATAATCACCTCTTAAAGCCACTTGACACTGTTTTATTGGGGATTAAGTTTCTGACTTATTGACTTTGGGGGTATATACCACCATAATAGTGGGTAACATGCAAATTAGCACCTATAGCTCATAAAGATATGATGTTTGGAGCCTCAAACCCCCCAATCTTTTCTTTCTCACATGAAAGGGGCTATCTTTTGGATGGATCATGCTGGTAAATGTATTTTTCTGGAACAGTAGGCAAGAGAGGGTTTGTTGTTACAGAGGATCATTCCATGGGGCAACCCATGATGGGTCTCTTTGTTTCCTGTTTGGGCTTCTTTGGAACTCSTCAGTGAGACTCATTGAAGTGCATTTACATTGCACCATGTTTTCTTTCAGTTCTGCTAACCAGGGTGAAAGGAGGTGGCAGAGACAAGCGTGCCATGGCTTCAGATATAACATTCTAAGAAGAGGGTTGTCCTAGAGGGCTGACCCCTGAGGCATGCCACGCCCAGGGCTGGCTCTGATGGAGGTGCCTGGAACTGTGGGACTGCATGAAAGTTGGCCCTTAAGACATGGATCTCACAGCATTAGGGACATGTMCTGAACATCTGTAAATGTCCTCATCCTCATCCTTGATCTGGGAGAACAATGGATGGTTAAGAGGACATCCAAGAGAATTAGGTCTGTCAATCTGACAGACCTAATTCTGCCCAACTACACATCTGGTGCTAGCACCAAGTTTATGAAAGGAAAAAGGGCTCTAGCATGTCAGAATGTATGAGCTGTACATACTTATGTATGCAACTGTTCATATCCAAAATAGCTACAAAGACACATTATACAAAGCTGAGCTATGAATATAATTTATTAAAATACTTACATAGAAATTTGTTATACAGATAACAGAAAAAAATACAAATGCTCCCTAAGAATTATCATTTAATTTTAGGATAATACTTAGTAACAAAAATAGCTTGAGAAAATATCATTTAAATAAGTCTATGTACAAGGCTTTAAAATGCTCCTATTGGCAGATCTGTGTGAACGCTCCATGAGCRCATCAAAGCTCTGATCTGAAGGTCACCTTGGGTCTATTTTAGGGGCGTCTGGTTTTCTTCGCTGTGCCTGGACTCTTCACTGCTGGGAATTTCTGGTTATGCTTAGTTTTGCTTTCTCTCAATTCTTATTTTGCAAATTATCTAACAAGAGAGATATTAGTCCCAACACTGAAAATTCATTTTTTTCACTACATTTATGACAGCTACAAATTTATAGTTTCAAATGTTTTGGTCACCAGGTTTTAGAATTGGAATAGTGTTTGCTTGTTTGCTTTCCTAAGAAAAGGAAGAAGTGAATTTCTCTCTAAAATCTTGGAGGGTTACTTACTGCCCTACTTGTTTATCCATCCAGCAAAACTGTATTCTGTACTGAGCACTGACAACTGAAAGAGGGAAAAATCTTGAGACTTCCAAAGTCTCAATTTTTCACCCTCCAAAATACAAAGCTGCAGGGAGTAGAGGTGGCAGCGATGAGCTCACTTTCCTCTCACTCTTCAGACAGTTAGCCACAGAACCTTTACAGAACTTGTAGCTTTTAAATTAGAAAAGCAAAAGAGAATTCCTCACCTGTATTTCTTTGTGTGAGATAATATTACGAAGGTACAGAAAAGAATGATTTTGTAAAAGAAATTCAACAACTTCTAAAAATAAGACCTGTAAGCAAACTCACTTTAACATCCAGTCTTTAAAGACTTCCTCAAATGAATTAAAAATGTGAATTTAAAGGGCTCTGGAGTTTCATGATGATTCTGTGTATTTGTAAGATCAAAGGAGGGATTACAGTAAAGTATGCTGAGCATTTTATAAATACCTATGCTGAGTAGTTTATAAATATGTACATTTTTATTTAATGCCTAGGGATTGATGAAGTCAGGAACTTCTCTTATGTTGGAAAGAAATTCTTTCTTATAGRAAAAGTAATGAACTACCTAAAACATCCTTCACAATCTTCAAGAAAAGTGGCAATTCAGAATAATTTTGATAAAATCCCTTTTCCCCTTCTACAGTTCTGTCAGCATGAAGAAACTCAACCATCTCCTATAAATGTATGTGACACACACATTGGAGAGCATGGAGGCCATTCTGCTGAGGAACTGGCGAACTTACCCACACCCTATCTGCACCCTTGTGATGTCAATCAAAACTGAAACATGTAACTTGCATTAATTTTAAAAAGCCATACTGCTTATCTGAGAATTCTGGATTGACTTCAATTTTGTGAATTCCTTAAGGCTTAGTTGGTTTATAAAGYGTAATTTTTAATACTGATAAAATGATCTGGCCAACTAAGCACCAATAATATTAATAAATATCAWTAGTTAGCTCTGCATTCACTAGGTCTTTCTGTTGAAGCATTTGACTTTATAAATACATTACAGTCTTAGTGCCAACCCTTACTGGGGTTTCAAATTCCACAATAGAGCATGTCACCTGGATGTGATCCTCATGTCTCAGGATATTCCTGGAGTCAAAAAGCAAAATGCAAAGTGAACAAAAGAACAGATTGCTGACAGTCAGTATGAAGTTGTCCAGTGGAGAACCACAGTTGCTGAGACTCTGTAAGTCAACGGGAACATAAGAAATGACTCGTGACCATGGCTGTGGGTGGGGTCGCTCTCACAAAGGGCTCTCAACCATCCTTCTCTTGCTCTGTAGATAGAAGATGCGGTTCTCTTCAGGATAAGTGACTTTACTGAGTGGCATCCTGTAGATGCTGGAGTTTTTTGTGGTCAACAGGAGGAATAGAAGTGTAGCCAAACAGAAGGACCAGGTACCAGCCGGCAATCCAACCTGGGAAAAGAGAGAAGCCACATATTCCTTTGAGATCCCTTTGGAAAGCTAATCCACACAACACCACTCTACACTTTCACCCTGGTAGGCCCGGGAGCACCAGGGGCTTGCTCTGGATTCTGCTAATGCCCAGGAAGGCCTGGCCTAAGATCTCAGGGGTTTAACAATGGAAGTCTCTTCATGTGTCCTTTAGGATAGTCAGTTAGGCCTTATTTTTTCTTTCCTTACTTCTCATACATCCAGAATTCCCACACCAGATGTGGACACCTGGTACATGGAGAAGACACTTAGTGCATTGCTAAAGACTTCCTCTGAATGGTCAAGTCCATGGTGACCATTTACTTTGACTTTCACTCAGTCTAGGTCCTGGACTCCACTTGTTTCACTTCTTTGAATTTTGTCTCCCAAATAGACTCTTCAGTTTCTTAGGGTAGGTCCTTCTGTGCTGACCATGGTGACTCACTCAGTTCTGAGCATACCACTGGTTAGCTCTAGTCCTATGCATACGCCCTGTGGAGTGTGATGGAGTATAATCTGACTGCACATCAGAATCATCTGGGGGAGTTCAAAAAAACAGATGCCCAAGTATCATACAAGATCCACTCGATCAGAAAGATGAGGGATTGGGCCTAAGGATCTGTATTTTCCAAAATCTCATAATGAATTCAGCAGTTTGTTCAATTAGCCTATGGACTGGCACCTGTGAATTTTTTTATTGGGATGCAAAGAACTCCATGAGACTTGGATATACTTCCCATCCTATATGGGAATTTGGCTTATCATTGTAAAGATGCTATATCTCCATAAAGACCCTCCCAGATAAACTCTCTATACTAGTACTGAGAGAGCCAGGTACTATCTTGACCCATTAGCAGCCATGAACACATCAACATGGTCGAGGCAGACAGCAACTGGCCCTTTATCTTCTGCAGTGGTGGATGAGGATGAGAAGAAAGTTCAGGCATTCGGAGGTGAAGGATTCTCTCCAAAACAGGAGAGACTGGGATCCTTGAGTGAGGGACAGGAGAAAATCAAAGGACAGGAGGACAGTTGTACAAAGGAAGGAGAAAGAGTGGCAAAAGATAGTTAATGGGAAAGATTGTGCCTATTAAATAATTTGTCCAGGAGCCATGCCTTAGAAGTATTATTGACAACGGATGAAGGATTTAATAAAGACCAGAAAGCAAAAAAACAAAACAAAATTATTGCCAGGTGTAGTAGCACACACTTGTAATCCCAGTGGCTCAGRAGGCAGAGGCAGGAGGATCATGAGTTCAAAGCCAGCCTCAGCAAAAGCAAGGCACTAGGCAACTCAGTGAGACCCTGTCTCTAAATAAAATACAAAATAGGTCTGGGATGTGGCTCAGTGGTCAAGTGCCCCTGAGTTTAATCCCCAGTACTCCTCACCCTCCGCAAAAACAAAACAAAACAAAAAATAAAAACAAACCACAAAACACAAAACACTATTGACTGGATTTAAAACGACAACAATAACATCTGGGTTTTTAGTCAATTATCTTTCTCCCCCTTTCCTGATTTCTCAATTATTTTATAGTTCTGGCTTTCTGTTTGAGTAAAAGGTACTCTAAGGTCAACTTCTTGACACTCACAGTTAGACTATGAACTTGATAAAATGTTATTCAGTTATTGATAAAGTATTGTTAAAGTTACTCTTTAAACCATGCAATCTGATATTTGTAACATGCCTGGTGATTGCAGTTTGGACTAAAGTTTACTGTGAGATTGGAGGTGAGAGTGGCCCAGAAGCTCCAAAAGGAGGAGGAGTGAGGAATAGTGGGCATCACAGTCATGGATCCTGTCACTGGATGCTGCCCAGGTGGACTTCAGAAGGGTTTTCCATGTAATTCAAAGCTGATCAATCATACTTGGGACAGAGATACTGAAGCAAACTCACCTTAGCCATCAGGTGTGTCAGGCTGCCTCCAAGGTAGGCGGTGAATAGGGCTACAAAGAAAGGAGAAAGAATGCTTGGGAGATGTATTTTGAATCACAGGAAAGACTGCCTTCCAATATAGAACCCATGGAAGGCACATTTGCACATATATCCAGCTAGCCCCACACCCCGATTACAAGTACTAAGCTTAGAGTCAGAAGCTCTGGGTTCAAATTCTGCCTCATCAGGATTGAAATCCTGCCCTTAGACTCTGTCTAAGCTTCCATGTTCTTGCCTATGCAGTGGAAGTAAAAGGTTTATCCCATAGGGTTGATAAAAGCAACAAAGGAAATAATGCTTATGTTTAGCACACAGTAAGTGCTCAATAAAGGTAGTCTGTGGTGCTATTTTGTTGTTGTTATGGCTAGTAAATACATGACAAATAAACTTCCTCATTGTTTAATCCAAGTATAGTTGAGTTTCTGGGTATAACCTGGTTTCTATATAATCTCCCTGAATCTAGGAGATATATCTATATCTATATATCTGTATCTATATATCTTTTTAAAAAAATCTATATATCTGGGATTGAACCCAGGAGCACTGTACCACTGAGTTGCATTCCCAGCCCTTTTTATTTTCAGACAGAGTTTTGCTAAGTTGCCTGGTCCAGCCTCCAGCTTGTGATCCTCCTGCCTCAGTCTCCTGAGTAGCTGGGATTACAGGGGCTCACCACCCCATCTGGCAAAACAGCCCTGGTTTCAAATCCCAGCTCTTCCATTTTATTTGTTGAATRACAAATCCATGTCTTTCTCAGGATCTAGTTTTTTCATCTGGTAAAAGGCAGCTTGAAAAACTGCTTTCCAAGGAGGTGATGATTCTCAAATCAATGCATGCATTTCCACAAACAGCAGCTGTGAACTCATCCCTCTTACCATGTGACGGTTACTATCTGCGCAGAGGAGTGCTCACCACTTGGGTTGGAAGGTTTCCCTCCATAGTTTCATCAATCTCATTCATTTCTAAGATCACCTTCATTCATTCAACCACTCCTCCTGGGCCCTCTGCTGTCYCAAGTGCCAGCTCCTGAGAAACATTTCCCTGAGCACATAAGACCTGATCTCCATTTCTCTCCTTTTAATGCCTATTGTACTTCAAAGCCTACTTTCAGCACTTTCCTGTTTCATGCAGTTGCCCTGTTTTAAAGTGATCTCCAAGTCTAAGTTGCTCTTCTCTCCACAGCAAGAGTTCCTGACTATTAAGYAGTGGGTACCTGTCCATTAAGACTTGCTGAGCAGTACTGGGAAAGCCTGACATTGGAGGGGGACTTCTACACGCCACAGACAATTTATGGGTGAYTCCCTGACAGCATTCTTGCTAGCTGATGAAGAAAAAAGGCCCTTGGACTGTAAAGGTTGACTGGATTTTTGCTCTTYATGGATGATGTCCCTTCCAGTGGACTGTCATGCATGAGTCCTACTGTAACCTGACCATTGATGTATTTAGAGCGTCCTCAGATAAATAACAAGATGRGCCCCTGCCTAGCAGCTCTGCCAGGTGCCATCAGAGCTTTCTCAGTTCTCCTCTTGATAAACATGTTTGGAGTGAATGAAAGGACCGCTCTGTAATCCAGGCTGGCCATTTATTTACCCTGTGGACAAGAGCGGCCTTTTGTTTGGCAGTGTCAGGGTGATATGGACAAGCTGAAACCTGCTGTGGCCTTTTACATGCTAGACTTGCTTTCCAGGAGAGGCTGGAAGTCTGTCTCAAAAGTTCATGTGCAGAGAGTAAAAAGTCTGACAGGACCCCTTGGAGCTCAAACAGATACAGATGCTCTCACACACTGTTGGCAGCAGTGGAGAGGGATACAGCCCTTTAAGGGCAGTGAATTTGGCATCTATGGAAATTAAATTGGCATTCCTTTTGCTTTCATCAGTTAGACTTCTAGAAATATGTTACAGAAATACTTGCACAAAGTACACAAGGATATTTGTACCAAAATATCTACTGTAGCAGTGTTTGAAATGGCCCTGAAGTAGAAGCCTTGTGAATTTCCCCCAGCAAGTAAGTGCTCCTGATAACACACATCTGTAGCGTGGCTGTCTCTGCTGCCTGGAACTCCCRCAGGTACAGCCCTCCCCTGACGCACCAGGACAGATGCCAGCTAATACCTGGCTTTTGCTCCCCACTCCGAGACTCATCCCCAAACTGCTGATGTCCACAGGAAATAATCTCCCAGGGCAAGAAAAGGAGATACCAAGGGGAGCAGACACCAGGAGAGAAAGCACAACTGAACATCTGACCGCAGATAAGCTCAATTAGTGAATCAGAAATGAAGCACTTGGTAGGTGAGGTGACTGGCCCAATGGATGGAGCCAAAGATAGATCTGCTGGTCAACTAACCTGGAGATCCTTGTGAAGGGATAAAGAGTCGGAAGTAGTAAGAAAACATCCAGAGTGCTGAAAAAGTCAATGCAAAAGTATTGCATTCAAAGACWAAGAGCCCTAGAAGGAGAGGGATAAATGATTGGAGAGAAAAGACCCAAAAAATTAAAAACCAGCAATATCCTAGAATTAGAGGAAGATAGAGGGCTCACCCTGAGAGGATCTGAGTGCCTAATAACACCGGAAATGCAAAATCCATGATAGATGGACCACAGAAAAGCATCTCTTATGTAAAAAGACAATTTGAAGAGTCCAGAGAGAAAAATGAAATYACCTCTATCAAAAATTAGATTATCTTCAGACATCTCAATAACCATTTGGGGTATAAGACAATGAAATACTCTTTGAGGCAATTTTCAAAGTATTGAGAGAAATAAATGTTAAATCTGGGATTTTGCATTCAGCTAAACTAAAACTGAAATAGGGGTGAAAAGATGTTCTAAGACACACAGGGTRTTAAAACTCCCACAAAACTCTCTCTGAACATGGTGGGGGGGAGTGAATAGATAAATCAGTAAAGTTTACAGTTTCCTAAAAAAGCAAGTTTTCAAAAAAGCATAATAAACCCCAAATGAAAATTCTGTACAATATCAACATGGTTTCCCTAGATGTTAGTGGGTAGCCTCCCCAGAGGAGGTAAAGCAGGCTGAGATATCCTTCCTGATTGGGGAGGAGATAAAGGGACTGTTAAATTTAAGAAATTGTGGTCTGGGGCTGGGGCTGTAAAGTGGTAAAGCGCTGGCCTCCCAYGTGTGAGGCACTGGGTTAGATCCTCAGCACACATAAAAATAAATAAAGATACTGTATGTTTATCTACAACTAAAAATAATTTAAAAAAAAAGAAATTGAGGTTGGGTGTGGTGGCACACACCTATAATCCCAGCAACTTCAGGGCCAGCCTCCGAAATTTAGCAAGACCCTATCTCAAAATAAAAAAATAAAAAAAGGTTCGTGATGTAGCTCAGTGGTAGAGTGCCCCTGGGTTTAATCTCCAGTACCAAAAATAAAAMAAAGAACCTTAACAAATTGAGAGGAAATAATAAGCAAGGTTGGTTCCTCTAAGTTATGCAAAGCCMCCAGAAAAAAATTTCCAGTTTTAAATAATGCAAACAAGCTGCTCGACACTATTTATGTTTAATGTGCTTTATGTACACATGGACTAATCCTCAGAACAGTTCTATGAGGCAGGTACTTAACTCCCATTTTTTAAAGTGTAGAACTGAGACACAGAAAAGTTAAATAAATTGCTTAAGTTCAGAAAGCTAAGTAGAGCTGGGATTTGATTCCACAAGTCTGGCACCATGGTGTGTGATCTGAACTAGTTCCATATACTACTTTAACCACTGTTCTATGCTAGTCAAGATATCTGTTCTATCCAAAGGAAGGTAAGTGTGYCCTCTACAAATGCCCACATCCTAATTCCCAGAACCTGTGATTGTGTTGTCTCATGTGACAAAAGGGATTGTGAAACTGCTTAAGTTACAGTCCCCGAGACGGGGAGATTATCAAGGATCTTACAAATTACTACAAGTGTCAATTTAATAAAAGAGAGGTGAAAAAATTGGACCTAGGGAGTAGAATGGAATATTTTTACTTTTTTTTTTTTTTTTTGTTACTTGGCATTGATCCTCCTGCATGCTTGGCAAGCACTCTCCCACTGAGCTACATCTCGTCTCTTTTTATTTTATTTTGAAATAGGGTCTCACTAGTTCCCAGGCTGRCCTTGAACTTGCCATCCTACTGCTTCAGCCTCCCCAGCAGCTGGGATCACAGGTGTACACCCATTGCATCTGGCTGGTATTTTCATTTTCTACTTTATACTTCTTTATACAGATTGGATTTTTGTTTTGTTTTGTACAATAAGAYCGCACTACTATCATAAAGGAAATAAGGAAGATATTCCAACTTTGGGAAAACACATCCCCCTCCAAGGTCTGCCAAACCKCATCAACATCTCCTGTGATCAAGTTTCTGCCTGACTTTGAAGGATGCACTCAGGCTGTCACCACACTGAACTGTGTTACTCTTTCCAYCAAACACAACTCCTCCTCCAATGTTTTAGGACTCACAGAAAAACCACCATCTCTAGGGGGGACTTCTGATGATTCTAACTGTGACGTTCCCCCAGAGGAGCCTGTGCTGCAGATTTCTCTTTGTTATGCAATTAATTCTGCAGAGGCTCCCCTCTTTACTCCCCAGGCTCCACTGTCCACTCTAACATTCTCTGTGCTCAGGAACTGCTTAGGACCTAAAGCTTTTGGGTTGCCTCATGACTGTTTAATACTTATTTGCTGCTACTGCAAATAGAGGTCTGAAACCAGTTTCAGAATAAAGCTATAAGGTTGGAGAATGAGAGTGTCTAACCCAGCTAAGCTCAGATGACCACAGAATCTGTCCACAGCTTCTTAGCCTTGAACTTGTGAACAAATGTGAAGAGTGAACAAAACAGATACAGATATTAGGTGAAACAGCYGAGTAACTATAAAGAAACTGACAGAATGACATCTAAGTGGTGACACMAATTGAATTTTTTTTTCAATTTGACATTATTATTGCTGTATGTATATAYGTGACTGCATAACCCATGTGATTCTGCAACCTGTACACTCAGAAAAATGAGAAATTATACCCCATCTGATTCAAATGTATGATATGTCAAGATCATTGTACTGCCATGTGTAACTAATTAAAACAAATRAAAAATTAAAATTAAAAAAMTATTTTTATTTTAAAATTTTTATCCTTTTGCAACACTGGGGACTGAACCCAGGGGTGCTCTACCACTGAACTAAACCCTAGCCCTTTTATTTTTTATTTTGAGACAGGGTCACACTAAGTTGCTTAGGATCTCCCAAATTGCTGAGGCTCCAACTTGCAGTTTTCCTGCCTCAGCCTCCCACAGCCCGAGTACTATTAGCTTTGCTGCAGCACAAATCACAATTGAATGGGGCCTTACCAACCCTTGGTTCTGTCTCACCTCTGACCAGGGCAGAAATCCCGCTCTACCTCTTGCCCGAAATGTGGTTCACCATTGTAATGACTACTTAGGTAGCTTGGATCAATTAACTGGTGAGAAAATGAATCTGAACACATACTTCCACCAGATTAGAAATAATTTCTCCACATTCCACTATCRCTCTCACCTTTTTGTATCTAAAGGAGTATCACTCCTTCCACTCCAGAGCATTATTTTAAATACTGTTATTACATTGAATTACGTCTCAGGATGCTTTCCATGAAGCAGCATGCGCTTTATAATCAGSTTGGGGAAGCCACCAGCATTTCAGATCCAAATCTCCTGAGGTCTGTTTAGCCTGAGGGGTTGCCATAAGGGCCTAATGCTGTCACACAGGAGCAGCCAGGGGCAGGGTGAGCAATTGCAGGTTCTGGCTGGTAGGTTTGGGTTTACCCCTAGAAAATCCAGTGAGGAATGTCTTTCCACACTTCCTTTAAACTTTGTCCTCCTTACCCAAACTGAGAAGTGAGAAGCTGAACTGGAGTTCTCCCAGGACGCCTTCCAGCTCTGACTGGCAGAGTCTGGCTAGTCCTGGGTCCGAAAGGTTTAAGAAATCAGCTCTCAATGTGTGAACCGGAGGCCAGCAGCATCTGGCCCCGCTGGGAGCTTGCTAGAGACACAGATGCCTCTCCGTTGCCTCTACCTCTGAGTTGGAGACACAGTGTGAGACCCAGTGATCTGGGTTCTGTGCCTGCTGAAGTGTGAGGACAGCTGGATGAATGTGATTCTCAAAGGGCCACCTGTACTTCCCCCTGATTCATATCAGAAATATGACCTGATATTTAGCTTATTTTACTTAATTTTTTTGGGGGGGGGTTAAACAATAAACACCAAGAATGCAGGACAAATCTGATGTCCAGGCCCCCCAAATATACATAATGTGGTGTTGTCAACATGATTCAATAGGCTCCTAACTTCACAATGAGAGAGGCAAAAGTGACTTTAATACTCCCAGAGAGGGGACATCATTGACCTGCTCACATTATTAAATCTCAGGTGGGCCGAGTTAGGATTCCAGTTCTAATCTTACACAATCCTTTTTAATTCCTTGATGTGGGTCCCATAGCTGGGAACAACCTTCCCCCTACCCCATGGTAGGATACTCACCGCAGGCAAGAGCTAGGAGGTGGGCTTGCCAGGTGAGAGCTATGAACATTCCCCCAATTGCAATGCAGGCCAGAGAACTGTTGTAACCCCAGAGTCCAAAGTAGATGTCCTTAAATGGCGCTGAGAGACTGAGTCCTGTTAGGTAAGACAGAAGTGGTCAGTGCTCTGGACAAAAGGGAGGATGCTCTGGAATGAGACAGGGGTGTGGTCCTGGGGTTAGGGGGAGCATCACAGATCTCCCGTTGGTTCCCAGGAAGCAGAGACTTSGAGAAAGGTCTGGAATACAGAATACACCTGAGACCATGCACAGGATGCTGGAGGAGTGCAGTGTTTGGCAACGAGTCTTGTGCTTACCTGCGACTATCCCCAGCAGTGATCCGATGGCGGCGTGCAGGCACATGAGGGGGGAGGAGAGCAGGAGGCCACATAAGAAGATGCCCCCCGTCCATGGGTTGTCACAACCATATATCTGACCAACCCCCACTGGCAGGGACTTCAAAAGCTGCAAAATCAAGTACAAAACTGAGGCTCCCAAATGACTGATCATAAAACCTACAGGACACCCCCAAACTCAGTGTTATTTTAGATTTAGCATTCTCATGTTCAGATCAGTTTTAACTAATCTTTAAAATTCTCTCCTTTAATTACAAAAAACAAAATCTCCATCCTTCTTTAGCTTTAYCCACACAGGTACATCTGCCCTTCCCTGGTGCAGCTGTGCACGCCTTTCCCAAATYTCCTATGCGCCCTGACTCCCTGATGTGTCCTGCCCTTGGCCTCGATCCCTGGGAGGCTCTCAGCGTAGTCATTGCTTCTGGCTGTGAGGATCTGTCACAGCTTCTACTGAGGATAGTAGGAACCACAGCTCCTTTTGCTTCGAATTATCTATTGGTGTTGAGGGCAATAATCAATTCTATCAAATATTCCTATTCAATAGAAATATTACTACCGTGCAATTTGAGTGCTCCTACTAGGGCCAGAGACCTGGAGCTGAATGATCTTAGACACAATTTAGAAGAGATTATAAGCAAGGTCATGAATCAGGACCATATTTGCCCTTTTGATGTTAAGTAGGACATGTATTAGTTTAAACACATCCGTAACTTATTCCAGTTATTAACACCTGTCAGTCAGACATCAAACACAAAAATACACACAAATGTCATAATTCTACTTTGTGATTGAGGCCTGAATTTAAAGTTTTCACAGAATGGGAGTTCTCAAGAAGGCACAGAATTTGACTCAAATGATAATTTTTATAATAATACTCTTGATAGGGCCAGGATAGATATCATCACCTTGACATTTCCATTTTGAGTGAGGATAATTCCTGAAAGATGCCTTCTCCTGTGGCCCCTTCACCTGTTCTGGGTTATATGTGTGCCTCTAGGCCAGACCCTCTGCAGGCAAAGACTCTGACAGAGGGAGCCCCWGCTCTGGCACAGGGGATGTGTCCTCTCCCCTCTTGTCTTAGGCTGGGTCTCACACTGGCTTCCACATGCTGGCAGGGTCTCTGCTCAGCACACCAGACATGGGCTCTAAATCCCTCTGGGCGTTGCTGGGTCTTTGTGTTTACATAAGATAATTTCCTGCTTGTTTCTTCTAGAACAGGCAGCTTCACACAGGCAAAGAAGTRTAGGTTTTTATCTCTGAACTTGATAACATAACTATCCCTCAGGTAGCCAGGGGGGTGGGGAAATTGAATGAGATGTCAAGTAAGTGTGTTGATATAGGTTCTGAGAGAGGAGGGACAAACCGCTCCCCTGCCCCAGGTCAGCCTGTCCATCGGGTGACAGATTGTCTACACCCACGCTGTCYAGTGCAGGAGCTACTAGCCTCCTGTGGCTATCAGGCAGCTGAAATGTGGCTAGTGAAGTTGTGGAACAGAGTTTTTAATTAATTTACATCTAAATTGAGCCATATGAGGCTGTTATATGAGACACAACAGTTCTAGAGAGATTCATACTATTTTGTAAATTATTTCTTTATAAGTAGTTCTAATACATTTTTTTWAAAATTTTCCTTTTGGCTATTTCCAAAAGCTCTTATTCATTCTTTGGGTAGGAAGCAAAGGCTCATGAGTTTCTCTTGTATTTTCACTGCTCAGCAAAGAGCACAACAGAGGGTGTTTCCTAACTGGAGAGAGGGAGAGCCAGTCTTTTGCACATAAAAAAAGCTAAGTTTTCTTTGGTTTTCTCCTGATTTCAAGTATTCTCTTGTTCTTAATGATCAAGAAATCKTAAGCATATTTACTCCATAAACACAAGCAGGAAGAGCTGGAACTCAATTTGGGCTAACTAGGGGTTTAAGAATCTGTCCTCTCTCCATGCACACCCATCTGCAAAGATACATTTAGTACCCTGTATCCTGGGGTAGAATGGTTCTCAAAGTCAGGCCTGCATCACAATTTGGAGGGTTTGTTAATACAGGTTCTCAGATCCCAGTTTCAGGGATTATGATTTAGAGGGTCTGAGATGGAGCTTGTTTTGATGGTTAAAAAATTCCCTGGGTGTCTCTGATGCTTACCAAAGCCAAGAATCCTGGATTACTCTGCACACTGTATGAGCTAAGCCAGAAGAAAAGGCAGAACAGAGAGGTTCTGCAGTGAGAGTCAGCCCGCAATGCTTCTGACTGGAGGAACCAGGTCATGGAAGATTGAGCTCCAGGTCAGAGGCCACCATCCTGATCCCTGSTCTCCATCACATCCACCCAAATAAGGGCCAAGCTCACAAAGTGTGTCTGAATCCCACTCACAATAGTGTGTCTGAATCCCAGTGGTGCTATACTCTGGAGATGGCACTGTGGATTTTTTTTTTAATAAGGGGGAAATTTTAGCTTTGAACAAATAATTATTTTTAAAAATCCCTTAGATACCAAAGCTCCAGAGTAGAACCATTGTTTTAGATGGTAAGCAGAAGGCAGAAAGACCATGAAGTACTGAGTATCTAGGAGACTCAGATACCCATGGGCAATGAGCCAGAGGACCTGGGTGTCTTTAAGGGAGAGGGGGATTGTGAGAAGATAGCRCAACTTACCTCCAGGGCACTGAGGTCAGACCAGGTGACATTGGGAACTGAGCTTATAGGTGTGATCAGCTGGCTTGGAAAGAATGGATTGTAATGTCCTGTGGCCGAAAGGTACATTGACAATGCCATGTTGAAAGGGAGAGTGAAGACAGGAAGGTCCCACTTGCTGAACACTGAGCTCAATGCACTCGAGAAAACCGGGCTAAAAAGGAACGGAACAGAACAATCTGGATGTGACAAGCCAGACTGGACAACGGGGTCTCTACACCATCAAGGACTTTGCTTCGCCTGCCAGTATGTGCTTAAAGTGTTCTGTTGCTAAACCACCCACAGACTGGAAATATGGGATACGTTCATCATGGAAATGATAATTCAAAAACACAGTACCAAAAAAATCAACTCTTAGCTTCTTTGGCTTTTGAAAATCTATACTCTGGGGTTGCTCAGAGTAAATTCTACATCAAGGTTTTGAAAATACCTTTGAAGTACTTAATAAATTATGTACAGAGCTAAGGTGCCCTGCAACACTGGATCATGTGTCCCTTCCTCCCATCAGAGGATACCAGACTCCTGCATCCATCTCTTCATGGATCTATTATGCACATCTTATTTGGGAAAAGAGAAATACTTGCCCAAGGAAGGATACAGGTAGTGTAGGTTAGAGGAAAGAGATTTTCTATTCAGGGGGAAGAGTTGACAATTTTGAGCTACTGACAAGTGTTGTGACCTTAAGCAAGACACAGGTCCTCAGTTTCCTGGTCTGTAAATTTAGGAATAGTTTGGGTGGTCCTTGGGCCTGTGTATCTCCCTCTTATTGAACCAATCAAGAAGCCACATTTCTAAGATCAGAACTCCAGATTTCCTGGGTTGTGGGAGGTGTGGTGAGCACCCACTGGCCACAGCTGAGTTCTAAAAATGGGGTCCCTGGACCAGCCACATCAGCATTACCTGGGAACTTGTTAAAAATGCCAAGTTCTCAGGCTCCACTCYAGACAGACTGAACCAGAAACTCTGGGRATGGGGAGCAGCCACCTGTGTTTTAATAAGTCCTCTAGGTGATTCCGATAGTACTCAAATTTGAGAACAACGATGTGGGAGTGGGTCTCAACATTGGTATATTTTAGAATTGGTATATTTTAGAATCACCTGGGAAGATCACCAATCACATCAGGATACTGATTGGTGTGAGTGTGTGATGTGTGTGGTCACATACATCAGTGAGCTTAGTGTGCATCTAAGGCTGAGAACTTCTGGATGAGGCAAAGGTATTGGAGGAATTATAGAGGAACTGGTAGWAGGCCAAACAACTGGTTGAATGAAACATACAATTTTAGGTGGTTATTACTWTTTCCAGTGGACATAACCTGAGTCTAATTTTTAAAAAATTCTCTATTTTCAGACGGGCACAATGGCTTACACCTGTAATTTCAGCAACTAGGGAGGCTGACGCAGGAGGACTGCAAATTCAAGGTCAGCCTCAGTATTTTAGGGAGGCCCTAAGTAACTTAGCAAGCCCTTGTCTCAAAACAAAAAAATGAAAATGGCTGGGAATATACCTTAGTGGCACAGCAACCCTGGTTAAATCCCTAGTACCCCTCCCCCAAGTTATTTGTTTTTTAAAAATGTTGTGGTAAAATACACATAACATCAAATTTACCATTTAACCATTATTAAGTGTACAATGACATTAAGTACATTCACATTGTTATACATCTGTCACTGTTATACAACTTGTCACTTTACAAGACAGTTTTCACATTACAAAATGGACACTTGTACCCATTAAACACCAACCCTTCATTTCTTCCTCCTTCCATACTTTTTTTTTAATGGTGCTGGGGATAGAACCCAGGGCCTTACCCCATGCTAGGCAAGGGCTCTATCACTGAGATACATCCCCAGCCCATCCCTCTACAATTTTTTTAAGAGGCATTTTGAAAAGCAGGTACTTACCACGTCATAGACAGAGCAGATACAGGCAATAATAGCCACCAGAAATAGTTTCCTTGATCTGAGAAGACAGCTATGAGTAATCCCACCAAGGTGCCATTGTAGCCATGGAGCCCAGCTGCTATGGCAGACCTGTAGGCAGGAGGCACAGCACAAGTAGACATGGGGAGGCCTGCATGTCAACTATACTTGTAACTTCTAGATCACATTCATATTAGAAAATGAAATTATATTTAGAAATGTTTCAAAGACTATTAACCATCATATAAATACTAATAAAAACAGGAAGTATATATATAGATAAAACTACAAATGTGCATGTAGAACAACCCTCTCCATAGGTGTCACAGCCAAGGACAGGTGTAGAGGGTCTGAGGGAGGAGGGGGAATAGGCCAGGCCACCTGCTCTGCTTCATTTCATCTTTCTTGCAGAAAGTTCTTATTATTTATTTTAAATCATTAAGTAGAGGTTTTTTTTTTTTTTCATATAAAACTGTTTCCTAACCCTGATTTTTTGGTGCAACCTATTAGATTCCTGAAATGTAAATGTAGTATCTTTATAAACATTAATCTCCCAAATCTTTCARTTTAGCATATGGTTTCATATTGCTGTGTCTAAATATGCATTTATCCTTCTCCTCCTTCTTCTTCTTTTTGGTGCTGGGGATTGAACCCCGGGCCTTGCTCATGCACTGATATCTCATAGTGAAATATATATTTCTAAGTTACTTCGAAGAAAAATAATTACTTATATTTTACTTGGCAAAGTACCCCATTTAATTACATGCAGGTTTAGTGCCTCTTTTGAAATCTCTCTTTGCTAGGTATTTAATCTCACTTCTAAAGATTTTCCTATAGGTAAGTGTCTACTCTGGCCATAATGGTTCCTATTTCATAACTGGGGACTAGAAACCCTGAGTGAGAAATGGGAATATTTCCATAGAATAAGCCCAAGCCTGTTAAGCCAGGCCCCCGCAGGGCTCCTGGAGTTGGCAATGACACCACTTGTGATATGCCCCTAAGAATCCAGTTGAAGAACTGGAGCACCACAGGCTTGTCTGGGATAGATGAAATAAGTTAAGATGTCRCAGGACCACTTCAATGACCATGAARGGCACAGGTTCTACTCCCCAAGAGCTTGGATCTTCAGGGCGATGTCTGCGGGGAGGGGGCAAAGATGGTGAAGYGAGTGAGGAAAGTCAAATGCAGAGCCTGCATCCAGGGAGCCACGGGGCAGGGAGAGACGGGAAGGGCAGGGAGCTACCAATGCTGATGTCACATGCATTCACTGGGGTGAGAACATCAGAGGTGGGACTCCCTGTTGAAAAGTCCTTTGTCTCCCTTCACTAATCCTTCAGGGAACCTGGGAAATTGTATTGCTGAAATMCAGAAAGTGGGACTACGCAGGCTGACAGTGGAGAGCTGTGCAAAGACTTGCCCTCTCGACAACTGTCTTGGAGAGTTAATGCCTGAGTTTGCTCAATGGAAAATGAATGGTGACATCTACAAATTGGAGAAGCCATGGCAAAAGCAATAGGAAGATGACATGTCATCTTGGAACAGAAATGTCATTTTAGTGTAGTCTTTCAAACCAAAGAAAGTCAAAGAGATTTGAAAACAAGCATGCAAATATGACTTATCTTTGAAATAGTGTGCCAAGGAAGTGGGGTTGATCATATTTCACTGGAACAAACCAATGAGGGATTATTCAGTACAGCATGATCCTAGAACGACACTAGATTTGTCCCTCTGAGAGCTGAGCTGAACTTTGCATTGTCTATGAAGAATGAGTTTGCTAAACTAATGATGAAGCAAAATATAAAGGGCTTTTAAAAAAGCCATTAAGCCTTTCATGAACTCATATGCATTTTTTTTGCTCAAACAAAATGCTGAAGACAATAATTTTATTGACCATTAAAGAAGATCACCTTAGAAGCTCTTCTGGTAATCACCTGTTGCTGAGTTTTGGTTACCCTGTCTTATCATGAGAATCTGGCATCATTCGAACTGGCCAATTATTCAGATATCAAGAATAAGAGACAATAAATGATTCCCTGACTTCTGACTCTAGGAAAATAGGAAGAGATCTGTGGAGTAAAGGTTGTTTCTCCCAGGAAGGGTGTGGCTGTCAACCGCTCCCAGTGGCTGGTCGGCTACTATCTCAGAAAGGGAGCCACAATGCCATAGACAGATGTGCCTACCTGTCCTGGCTGAGCAAGAGGGCCGTCAGGGTGGAGACCACTGTTCCCACACAGCCATTGAGAGCCCACCAGGGGTTCTGGACCAGAAGTCCCACCAGAATCAGGATTCCACTGATGGGGTTGCTGACGAACACCACTTGGGATATGCCCCGAAGAATCCAGTCAATGAACTGGAGTACCACAGGCTTGTCTGGGATAGATGAGATAAGTTAAGATGTGGCAGGACCACTTCAACCCCCAACCCCGAGCAGAAACACCAGGGTCCCTCAGAGATGAAACTGACTTTTGGTATTCCTTAAGCTTCTTTCCTCTGAACCCTTTGCCTCTTTAGTGGCACCCAGATCCCCCAAATCATTGTGTTTTTTTTTTTTATGCAAAACCTACACTGTCCCTACTGAAATCTAAGCTTCAGAATCTAATGTACTTACTTACAACCCTCAGAGGTACATATTCTTAAGTCAAAGGAATGAGATTAGCTATAGTAAAATTTTCATTTTTAAGTACTGAAATTACAGATGGAGCCTATTGCTTTCCTCTGAGGAGGATCCAGGCCCTGATCACTATTCCAGGAAAAGATATCAGGAGGTTTGAAGGTTGAAGATAAAAAATAAGAGAGTGAAGAGTAATGGGGAATCTAACCAAAGATGTAAATAGAAATGTCAGTCAACCATTTCCCCAAAGCCACTTTTCCTGTTTCTCCAAGGGATGGATGCATAGATACCTTTAAGCCACCTGGCAAATTCTTTCATATCACCGGTGACATAGCCAATTGTCTTGGGGATGCACCTTCTCCCTCCACATGATGCAGCCTGGTTTTCACTGTGGTCTACTTTGACCATTGTGGGGCTGTCCTCCATCGTTAGCTCTTCTTCTGGATCCTTCAGAGAAGAACAAAATTCATAAATATCCCTAATGTAGAACTTTCCATGTGGGCCAACTAGGGCCTAGTTACAGTAGCCACAAAAGAGGAGTTTAAATATATTCATGAGGACATGCCTCATGGGACTAAAAAAGTCCTGTTTTCCTCCTGAAAAATCATGGAGATTATCATCCAAACTCAAATTCCACACTACCTTGGTCATCAATGTCTTTAGTGCTATCATGAGAAAGTTCTAGACAGTAATAATATAAGGTTCAATTTCTAGTTCAATAAACATTTATTGAACCTCAACTTCCTGTACTCAAGGGCTCGGTCTAATTGAGAAGAAAGAAAAATGTTAACATGACAAGCCAAATAACACTACGGAAAGAGCTAAAATCAAGTGCTTGAACTTCATACTGTCAATTAAAGGAGGAGCAAGATCAAGTTACAGAATGGCTTGCTCCCAAAGCAGACTGATTAGCTACTTTCCAAGGAAAGTGCCTTTTTAAATTAAATTTTAAAATGACAAAATATTAGTTTTTATTTAAGACTTTGAAGGGGAAATTCAAAAAGAAAAACAAAACAGTTTGAGTGTTTTAAGAATCTTCCTAAGGTTCTTAAACCAGCCTTCCGCCCCCACTCTCCAAATCCAAYACTGCTGAAATTTGTTTTTCTATCATGCAACTGTCTCAGATCTTCTTTTCTTTTGGAACCTGCCATTTAAATGTGTAAACACAGGTAAGAATGATATTCCACAAAGATATAGAAACTGAGAAAGGTTATGCCGTCAAAAGCCAGTCATAATCTAAGGATTGTATAGTATAAGGATTTACAGGGTGTAATTATGGTAAGCATGCCTTGGCCAAAGACAAACGATGAAACCACAGCTTGTGTTCACTATGGGACTATTTTATACAGTAAGTATGTAATGTTACCCGACAACAATATGGTACTGCGTAGACAAAATGAGGGTTTTATGGTAGTAGATATAAAAGAATATCAATGGTATAATTTCAGAAGCAGAGAAAGACAATGGCCAAAGCTCCTTGGGTGTGAAAGAAAAGCCCAGAGCACAGCCAGGTCAATAGGMAGCAAGCAAACCCCGAATCATAAGACCCTAGAACACACAGATATAGAATACCGAAGTCACAGTCACATAAGACATGACCGAAGTCTAAGCAGAAAACCAGCTCATCTTCCCCCATGGCAAGGCTGTGAACAAAGGGTTCTCATGGCTATTTCTGACCTCATCGTTATTCCATTTGCTACATCAAATTGCTATTCACAGATAAAGTTACGTCTTTTTTTTTTTTTTTAACATCCTGATTCTTGTTTTGGTGTTTATTAAGCCCAGCACAAAAATAAACATGGGTGACTGATTTATTTCTGAGTAACAATTATATTTCAATTGTATTACTTTACTGCCCAACTAATCATCCTGCTTTTTAAACAATAGTGAACCATTAATTGTTGCACGAAGTGGAAGTTATTTATACAATGTAATGTGGGCCAAGGTCATTCATTCTGTTTTGGTAAAACAATGTCAGACACCAATATCTGTGAAATTTCTAAAGAATTTCTAACATTGGAAACTGCTGGAGGCCAGGAACCTAAACTTTATTATCCCTGAGAAGATGTGAAACTACTTGAGTAATTAAGCATTTATGAAAAATTACTCTTTATTTCATACTGTATCTGAATGATGGCTCTTTCTTATTTTCAGACATCTCCTTCTTCATATCTCACAACTGAAAATATGGCACGGTAAGCCCCTTCCTCAATGACCCATTTTCAAAGCCATACCAAGTCATGAGAGGCCCTGGGCTTTGTCCAGGTAACCACAAAAAGCACAAAGCCACAGCTTCCTGGAGTTTCTGTACTGAATATATAAGGTCCCCAAAGTGACAGATTCCAAGGAAAACAGGGGGAGGGGTGGGGGAGTGGTATTTCCCATTGACTACAGAACAAATTCCAGAATAAAATTCATGCTCTCAAAATTTCCAGGATATATTTGTTTGTTTTAGRGCGTTTTAAATACCCCATCACCTCAGAGATTTCAGAGATACGGATTCAAAACCTGATACTGTAACTGGCCAGACGTGATTGAGAACCTGAATGACCTGAGTCCCCTGCTCAGCCACCTCCAGTTAAGACTAAATATCTTTTTGTTCAAAATCCACAGCCCAAGCTACAGAAGGCTTATTATAGCTATTTGTGTCTCCAATATCTATGTGCTGGGATGCGTGGGAGGGCTATGATGTCCTAGACAGGGGCTTCTCCTGACTTGAGACAGAGGCTGCGTTCAAGAGAGATCTCATGAACCATTTATTCTGAACTGCTAGTTCAACAAACATTYTCGAAACCCTGGGAGCCTTGATACTTGTTCTAGAACTGGGGCAGGAGAACTGGTTAGGAGCAGTCAGTAATTTCAAGTTGCAATTCTCTAGAATTTGATCATGCTAGAATATGTGCATTTCCTTAGGGAAATTTAAGGGTTCCACCCCTTCTACATGTGAAGTCAGTGAGAAGCTATGGAGATGCTCTGCCCGATCCCGACTAAATAGACCATTACATTTCAACCAAGAGGAGAGGAAAATAAAATAAAAAGAATTCTAATAGGAGCAGGATAAATGTAAAATCCCAGGCCATGGTTCCCGTGCTTTTGCAAGGCTTCCAGAAATCCCCAACTCAGTGGTCAGACCTCTAAACCACAGGCAATACCAAGTGGCTTTTTGGCACAGGAATCATGGGCCTTTGGTTCAGCCCAAAGCCYTGAGCTCAGCGGAGCTTGCTGACCCCCCACTTCCCAGGCTCTTCTCAGAAAAGACACACCAGAGCTTGCAGCAGGCTCCCAGGTTCCCCAGAGGAGGCTGCAGCGGGGAGCATACCTGTTCTTGTGGCTCATGGGCCAGGACCAAGCTTAGCCGGGCAAAGCCTTCGTGYGCTGCCTCACCAGCTTTATTTCCAAAAGGGTCTATCCAAATAGGACCATGACGGGCGTCACCAGCGCCACCAATCAAAGACCGTCCATTCATCCTTCCTTTTTCTCCATACATGACAAAGGGCAAAAATACATGAATCCAGTGAGCACGAGAAAGCCCAGATGGGGGTAGTGGGGAGGGGGCAATGGGGCCCCCGGTGTTGGAGGTTGCACAGGGCCTCCAACACCAAGGACAGACCTCCTCTTCATCAAAGASCTTGCAGCCGGAGGGAAGAGAGACAAGGAGCTGACTGCAGAAATGGAATGTTCATTTTGTTTTACTTAAAAAGAAAAAAAAAAAAAATGGCAGCCCATCATGCTGCTGCRCAGAGCCCAAAACCCAGGCTTGGTTCTGCTGCGTTTTTCTTCTCTGCTGGCAGGAGGCTTGGCCCATGTGAAACCTTCTCCAAAGGGAGAGGTGAGCTCAGGCTCCAAAGTGCTTGTGGCAAATTTAGGGTTCTATATGGGGGACCAACACTGAGACAAGTTGCCCAGTCTTAATCAAGTGTGAGATAGCAAAGACATGGAGTGGCCTCTATTTTCTTCAATAAGATACTAGCTGCACTATTTACACACAGCAAAAGCCCATTTAGGAGGCCAAGAAATGGCGTTTTTTTCTTCTATCTGATTAAGAATGCTTAAATATCGAATATCACCATTAATAATAAACAATTGTTAGTTGAATTCAACAAGTGTGGCAGGTTTTAAAAATTTCTCTTTCTCTCTGTCTTTCTTCCTTTCTTTCTCTTCCTCTCTTATTCTTTCATTGCCTCCAAGGATACCCTTCTTCCTTCAGAAGTTCAGAAAATTTGTCTGTGTGGTATTTCTTTCTTTATTTTTCCCTCTTTCGTTTATTTTACTTCTACTGGCTTGATGTGAAACCTGAAAACTTCACCAGAGTAGCTCTAGAAGTGTACAGCTGTGGAAAATATTTCTGAAATGTCTTAGGAAAAAGTGTGTGTGTGTGTGTGTGTGTGTGTGTGTGTGTGTGTGTCCATGTTAAATTATCTGGCTAGTTATATACCAAATTCATGTGTCTGAGTTGCTCTGCGAGTATTTTTGTTTGATAAAGAATAGCATTAAGAAAACCGATGGCAGGGCTCTCATATACAGGTTTTGAAAAAACAAAAAAGAAGGAAAGAAAGACAAGAAGGGCGGACTCCCTCTTGTTGTAGAAGCCTATGCCCCCACCCCCAGTGTCTGCCTTTGTCCATCGCCAAACTCACACGAAACTCAGAGAACCACATCATTGAGCTCAATGTTAATATTTTCTTAGATCCAAGAGAAAGAAAATTTGAAAGCTAGTTGGAATTATAGAGAATCATAGTAACCATGCTTCATTTTATAGAAGAGAAAACTCAGGTTCAGAGTGGGAGCTGTCGATGTTCACTCAGCAAGCAGCAGGCAGAGTATGCCTTAGGGAATGGGTAGCCTTGGTGGTTCTTCGTCCTCTGTCTGGAGCCAGGCACATTACTGCTGCCCGAGATTCTATTCAAGTCAACTAGAAGGAGCTGCTCTATATGGTAGGGTCTGCAGTGGGTGCCAGGGCTCAGCCATGTAGTGAATGCAGGAACCTTTCTTCATGGTTGCCCCAGGTGTGTGTGTAGGGGTGTTGAACAACAAAAAATAAAAAGGCTCAGCCAGCCCAAATTTCATCCTATACCCTCCCAAGGAAACAGTTACTCTCCAATAAGCAAACATCTCCCTGKACCTCAAAGGGAACCTCACTCTTCTGCAGTACTGATACAGCAAGARCAAGGTTTGCATGTAACATCCCAAGAATATTCTGGAAGCTGCACCTGGTGAGCTTTCCAGCAGAAGCTGGAAATCGCTTTTCACAGCCCAGATCACTAGCGAAATGTGGCAGTGTTCAGCATTGATACGAAGCAATATCAAGATTTCAATTCAATTGCTATTTCCTATTTTATTACACARAAKGAAACTCAYTCCATTGTGAGCATTATAGGAGAAATTTGCACAATTGAAGAGACCCGAGTCTTCAATTTTCTGTGCCTCAAGTATCACTTCAAAAATAATACAAAATTTTGGATATGGATATAGAAGTATTTAAACATTCATATTCTATCATACTAAAAAGACTTTCAGCATTGACATTTATTTGATACTTACTGTAATCTTTATTTTAGGTAGTTTTTGATTGTAAGGGTCAGAAGTGCTCAGTTCTCTTTAAATCTGTAATCAGAAACAAAGAAAATGCTGTCAGGTACTTCTAACTCCCCGTGCAAAACTCTTTGCTTCTCAGTAGACAGCTCTCCTAGAAGCCTTGAATTTTACATGCCAGAAAGTGCAGCTGCAGGAAGTTGCCAAATCTGTGGCTGCAGAGGAGACCCATCCATTTTCCCCGATGGGTACAGAGGCAGAGTCCCTTCAGCATGACAGCACCCGCAGAAGAGCCCGTGAATTCRTACTTGCAAAGCACAGTTCCTAGCACCCCATTTTTATTTTCCTTTTGAGCCATATAAATGCTCATCTCCAACTTAATTATTCYAAGAGCACAGCCTGAAACTTTTAATAGTGCTGTTAAGTCAGAGTCATTTAGCACCCGAGTGGACAACCTGTAGCAAGCAATCCTCCAYGTAGCTCAGGGCTGCTTCTACCTGTTTTAGAAGTGCAATTAAAGACACTGCCTTGAAGCGTCCAGCAAGAAGCTAGTGGCTTCTGTGAATTGCTTACTTGTCTACCAGAACTCCAACTTGGCTGCTTCTATTCAGTCCTGACAATCTGAGACATAGCTCTCCATTAAACAAAGAAAAGAGAAAAAGAGCAAAATTTAGAGAGAACTAAGAAGGCAAGTCTCAAAAACGAGCAGTTGGAAATTACTAGAAATGAGGAGGGTACTTACCCTCCAGCTGGCGTCCCAGTGGCAGAAGGCAATGGCTGATAGAGACCTGCCAGGCACTGTTAAGAGAGAGAGAGAGCTGCAGAGGACCGTGCTGGAGGGAGGCACCTAACCTTTTATACCCAGAGCCCCACTCTGCATATCTGTGGACTGGTTTTCTCCTCCCACTTCAGCCACCAGTGCCAAAGCAATGCTGGGGAACTGGTCCTCTGGCTGCAGTACCTGCTGTCTCTCTCTTCTTGGTTTGGTGCTGACAACTTTGCCATGGTTTCCACAGCATCCTGAGGTCTTTATCCAGTGAGAATCCCAGTGAAATTCTTCTTTTTCTCCTTCATGCTGTTTCCTCTAGACCCTAACCTTGCTTGGAATATTTTTGTAAAGATTTGTAACCAAAAAGAATCCACATAGTGCCACTTAAAGCAAAAACCACGGGACAGATTGCTGCAGGGTGGACTCAGGAGGGAAATGATTGCTCCCTGGAGTGTGGGCTGGGGGTGAGGGTGGGGTTCTTAGACTTGATGCAATTTCTGCACAGGCATGTGAGCAGCAAGGCCCTGGGGGGTGAGGTGCAGGGTGGGAGGACAAGGTGTACAGAAGCCGTTTCTGAGGAAAACAGAAAGACAAATGTTTCCCTGGAATACTCTTTTTTTTTTTTTTTCCAGGTGAGAATCCCAGACAGAACTCTGCTGTTTTTTGAAAGTTAGGAGGCACACATTCCATAGCAGGAGACTCTACAATTGAATTTAAAAGCCCTTTCCGTCCCCTTTCTTTTAACTTCAGTTATATGGCTTGTTCCACGGTGGCAGGAATCTAACAAACTCAGGTGCACTTCTATGCGCCTGGAATTTTGCGAAATCCCCACAGAGAGCAGAGTAGATGTGGCTGATCTTCCTCCATTCAGGCCTCCCACCCGCTGGAGGTGCAGATAGTCCTTATCCGCTTGGGCAAGGCGGCTGGGACTCTCGGGCTCCACCCCCTGGACACCCGCCAGACCACAGGGTTACTCATCCCCATGGGACCCCCTCCCTGCAGGTGTTTCCCAGAGGCTTGTCTGGGCCCTGAGAGGGAGGGCGGTAGGTCAGGTTGATGGCAAGGTTTTCAGGTTGTGGAAAATCAACATTTTTCCGGGTAAAATGAAGCCCCTGGTGTCCCCTGAAAGAGAAAAACGAATCACAAGAGTGTGGGGGTCTGCTTTGGGAATGAGAGAAATCACACTAGTGTTTCCAAGAGTTTGTTACACAAATGGACCAAAGTCCCTCATGCTAATAATGCTAATGCTAATGATGGTGACAATAATGGCAAGGGTTTCTACAGATGGYTGAGCAGCTCCTCTGGCTGCTGTCACTGTGCTAAGCATTTTTCATGCAATAGTCATGTAACTATAGCACAAATCCTATGCAGTAAGTTACATGCTTCCCATTTCACAGGTGAGGAAACTGAAACCCAGAGAGCCTAAATAACTTGCCCCAAGTGTAACATCAAAGTTTATACTGTTCATCACTCTAGTGCTGCCCAATATTTCCAATTTCTGCTCATATGTCTGCTTAATTCATTCATTAACTGAATTAACTCAGTCATCAACACATATTTATAGACTTCATCAGGAAGCCACCTCTGAATAGCACCCATGCAGCCTTCTGTCTTGGCTCGGGTCAGGTTGAGGGTGTGTAGCAAGTCTCAGGTCTAGCAGAACCACCTCCTACTACACTACGCCCTTCCTCCCTCCCCACCCTCTGACCTTAAGTTCAGGTCACAAAAGACAGCCTCCTTATATGGTATGCACAGGTAGTCAAAGCACCTGGGATTCTAATTCTGGCAAACCTGAGTTTGAATCCTGATTTGTCCCTTACAAGCAGTGAGACCTTAGGTATGTTACCCTCTCTGAAACGCAGATTCCTCACTGTACAGTGGAGTAAGTTTGCTTCCTTTATAAGGTTATAACGAGGGGTGACAGATGGAAAGCACTGTGCCTGACACTTGGAGTGCCACTGTGTTTGCCCCTCTCAATCAGCATTGCTTTGCCCTGGAGGATTACTGAATGGTTCCCTCTCCACAGCTTGAACTAGGGGAAAATGTTCTTCCTAGCCTTGACCTCCAAAAGGATGCAGACATGGACATGGAGGCAAACATTGGACCATAACCTTGAGTCAGATAGGAGGTTGACACAGAGCTTGCTAATTTCTCATACTGTGTGC